TCCGGGATACCGACCAGACTGAGAGAAGCACTGTTCCTGCTTGCCACGGAAAACTCACGCCGCTTCGAAAGGTGGATAACTTGTCGTGCAACAAATGGGTAAAGTTTGGTCGCGCAGCGGTCAACCGCCGACCACTTTATCGCTTTAATTAAATAACGATTCAAAATTAGAGCGGCTTAGAAAACCCAATCTTTTTCAGTGGGCGTGAAAATAACAACGACAACGATAAAGTGGAGTTAAAGACATTGTTGGAACAAGTGTTGCTGCAATTAAGGATGAGTCATTATCCATACAGTATTGGACATAAGTTTCCAAAACACATTGGTATGAAAAATCAAATAGATCGAAGGAAAAGTGCTATATAATTTGTGAAAAATGAAATATTCGTATAACTGTGCATTATTGTATTACGCATTTGATATATTATTATTGAATTTGATGCATGAAATATAATTAATCGTGAAATATAATAATGAAATATGCATGCTTGAAACATATCATAAAGATATTATAGATGAATTTATAATAATTTTGTATAATAAAAAAAATTTATGTAAATGAATTTATTTAGGTACTATACATGTATATTAATATATTCGTGGATTCTTTAAAGAATCGATTTTAGAAATAATTTTATACATGATATACAAAAAATATCGATTAAGGATTATTTATTAAATTATAAGTAATTTAAATAATTCGTGTAAGATAAAGGGAATAGAAAAAGAAAAAGGATTTATTATATTTCTGTTTTGTTTTGTTTAACGCAAATTTCAATCGTTTATAATTTAATAAATAAACCTTAAGCAATATTTTTGTATAATTTTTAGAATCGAGTTTAATTTTTAGAATCGAGTTTTAGCTTTTAGAATCGAATCTCTAAAGATTTTCTACGAATATATTAACACCTTGTATAACCTTGTATGATTGGTAAATGTCGATATAGTAGAAAAGTTACATTATCAACATGACATAACCAAGATTTTATTAAATATCGATCTTAGCATAGATGTCTCTGCGATACCATTTTAGATTTTCAGTTATAATATTCAATTGTATTATGACATTTTGATCGTATTGAAAATTGAAGTGTGTACTGTAGATAGATACATTTATAATTAAAAATATATTTTGTAGTATGTAATTTATTATGAATAATTGTACTTTGTATTGATTGATTTAAAATCTCTTGTCTATTCAATACTCGTTGCATTTGCTTAAATTTTCGTGTAATCTTCAATGATTCTCTAGTGTGATTACAATCACGAATGAACGAACAATAAAAGCAATTTATACAATTATATTTTACATTTAATTATATTTAGGATAATATGCAGATTTCATACCATATTTCGATTAAAACGATAATTAAATAAAATTTTAATGAAAGTTCGTTTGATAACGTACCTTTACTCTCCAATGTATCAGTAATCCAATGTATACGAAGTACATAGATATATTTTTTAACATAATTCATTATTTTTGTCAAACTATTGATAAGTGATACCGTGAAATGTTATTAATCGCAGTAACAAATATAACTTTGTCAACGATCAACGTATGATCAACGTCAAGTATTCACATAATTGGTATGCTGTCAAAAAAGGCGGGAAAAGTAGGTATGTATAGACATTCTACGTGAAATGTGATAAAGATATCTTTATAAATTATAATTAATTTTTTACACAATTTTTATTAGAAATAAAAATATTTTACTTATTTATTTTTTCTTAAAAGTAATAATTAAATTCATAGCAAATTTTCTAATATATTGTTTTTATAAATATATATTTAATATGCAATATTTTTTGTATGACGTCATCAAGATGTCGAAAGCATTGGACAATTGTCTTCATTGTTTCGTACATCGGGATATTCATCAGAAGATTCACCTAAGTTTCGAAATTTGGTATGTCTTTTTTTATTTTTTCTTTTTTTAATACTTTTTCCCCTTATATTTTTACTTTTTATCACAATTAGTTTGTAACTTTTCAAGAATATAGTACGAAAATGATTCATGCGAAGTAACTAAAAGTAAGTAAAAGTACTTACCGAATAATTTCGTGCAGGTTTCATAATTGCAATTTGTTGATAAGATTTATACAGCCAGTAGAAAATTTACAAGCACGTTAATCCAGAAACACATGAACATGAGTCGTGTTCGTTGTCCCACGAATAATTAACGCGAAGGTTAACAAAGGTACTATATGCAGTGATTCTGATGTTTGAGGTTATTAATACGAGTATTATGCTTGCGTGTAAATAATCGAGCACGATCGGTCGCGTATATTTCAACGAGATATGATGTTTTACTATTCGAATGTTCACGATTGGAGTGCAGACACGTTATTTAATCTATCTAAAATTCATTACGCTTACTTCGATATAAGGTGCCGGATCACACGATCATACGATCACACATATGCACGCGACTCGTTTCTCTTTGCCGTGTGGTTTCAAAGATGGCACGAAAGTCAGCTTTGTTACCGGCTAATAAGGGGACTCGTGTTTTTGTTCAGATTTTAATTAAATACGGAAATCGGATAGGACAGTGGCCAGCGCATACATTATCATAAATTATCGTTCACCCGCGGCTATAAAGAAATCACGTGAGCACCTGCCTTAACGGTTGTAACTTGGACGAGAAGCGTATTTTGCGATTGCCAGCGCCACTTTTATTTTCACGAAAAGCGGCATTAAACGTGGAATCATTTCGTTATATTCTACGCTTGCGTCGAAAGAAAAAGACAGAGGCGTCACCGAGCAGGATAAAAAGATTACTTTAACAGGACGCATAATTTATAGGGTCGACTTTGAAACGTGCAACGGGGATCGGAGAAAAATTCACAAACGAGTTTCCTTCGTTCGAGAAAGATTTCGAGGTAGGACGAATATCGTAGAGAAATTTACACTTTGCATAAAGTCATTTACCATCGATTGATACAAACTTGCCGATTCTCGTCTTCAATTATAATAAATTATGATTTTCGAGGTTAAAAATTTTATTTTATATATATAGCATATACATACATATAAATTCATTGCATTTTTTGTTTCTAGATTAATTAACCAATAATACATTTGTCTATGTATGATTGAAATTGCAATCTACTTGACAAATAATGATTACAAAACAATAAAAAATCAACGAGTACAGTGAGTACAGTGAGTATAGTGAATGCAGTGAGTATAGTGAGTGCAGTGTTGAAATCCTCGCGGTATAATTCGAATTCAACAAAAAAAAGAAAGGACGATAAATCTGACAATTGCAAATGGAACTTGATAGAAGATAAACGTTTTTGCTTATTGTTTATTAGAATATAAGTGATTGAGTATAGTGAGTGGAGAATTGAGACAGAAGGATCGTAGATGGTCCTCTCGTACGACGAAAACGGCATGCAGGAGTCACGGTAGCAGTGGTGGCGGTGGCGGTGGTGGCACTGGCGGTGGGAGCAGCAGTGGCGGTGGTGGCGGTGGCAGCGACGGCGGCGGTGGTGGCGGTGGCGGCGGCCGATGGTGGCGGCGGCGACGACGAAGACGGTGCTAGGAGTTCGGGTGAATTCGTAAAGGTTCGGGTGGGGTCGGTTCGCCGCCTTGCCTGCCATGACTGGCCGGCCGTGGCCTCGCGGGGGGTGAGGGTGGGGGTGAGGTGGCGCGTCGGCGAGGGAAGCCGCGGCGGTGAATCCGGCGTCGTGATTGGTCGTCGCGTGGGAGAGCCGCCCGCCCGAGCTCACCGTGACCGGCAGTCGGCACCGAGCATCCAGGCAGAGCACATCGAGCCATCGGAGTCGGGGCGAGATACGCAACACGCACCTCGGAACGTAACCACGGGCACGATGGCCGTCCGGCGCGTGCACCGTCAACAACAACAGCAAGAACAACAGCAACGTCGTCACCGTCGTCGTGGTGCCGTATTTGTCGCGCGTGTTCTTCATATTTACCTGCATACGGAATCGAAACAACATCTGCAGCAGGATCGCGCGCTCGCTAAGGCATCGTGGCCACCATCGTGCGGATACGTGGCGCGCGGACTATGCGCCTGATGCACGCAATAAGAAACGAAAGAAAAAGAGAAAAAAACACACAATACACATATACACGACGACGACGTACGGAAAGTTGCTGGCAGCGCGCGCGTTAAATAACGACACACACCACGGGGTCCAGGGGCCATTCTAAAACACAATTCAACCTACATCGCACACGTTCCACCGTTACCTTTTCCTTATCCCCTCGTTTTCCATCGGTCTTGTGTATATCACACCTCCTTCATTCCTCTCTAGTGTGTGCCGGCCTTCCCACGCGGTCCTCGTATCTTCGCCGAGATTACGTTTCAGTTAATACGCAAGGAAACACGCGTCGGCCGTTAAATTTTCAGGCTCGTTGCCGGCCTGTTTGTCGTCTATGTCTTTCTCGCGTGTCTCGTTTGTGATCAATGTGATTGTCCTTCAAGCGTAATAACCATTTTTGTGTTTTGACTGGTGGTGCGTTCTATTTCGTGTTCCGAGAAATCTCATCTTACCGCGGCGTTTATTTGTATACTTACGGTGCAACGTTCTCGTTCTGTGCCCTTCACGAGAAAAGGAGAGAAAAAGAAAGAAAAAGTGTGTATCGAATAGAAGCCTAACCTCCTCCGTCGACGACGGTGGCGACGGTGGTGGAGGCGAAGGTGACGGTGACGGTGAACCGTTTCTCTGTGCTCTGTGTTATCCATTTCAATTTTTTCGTATTCTACGTTTTTGTGCGGTATTAGTGACAGAGAAGACCGAGGGAAGAAGTGTCTGTCTGTCGCGTCGGTGGCGTTCTTTCGTCGCGTTAGTCTCGTGTGCGCGTGACAGAGAAGCACATAATTGTGCGAGCAAGAGAAAGATAGCGTGCAACGCTGTTCCGACGGATCATCGTTAAGCCGGTTATAAAGAAGAGAAAAGAAGATAAGAAAAGAAGACGAATACGGAGCAGTGTCGCGTCTTCTGATCGAACGCGTGTTCTGTCGTTTTCGGTTATTCGCTTGCTTGTGTTGTATCCCGCGTCGTTGTGGAATTCACGCTGCATCGAGGACCAAATTTCAAAATTCCCGCGTCAGCCGTATCGACTACATAACCTCTCTTTTTTCCGTGACTCGAGGCGGACACACCTCTCGTGTTAAGTCGCCGAACGACAAAGACAGGAAAGACGGTGGCCGTCGCTCGGCCAGCAATAATGCCGCACGTGAGCAGCAGCGGCGGCGGCGACGATCTCGGCAGCGAAGACGAGGTCAAGGTCTTCAAGGATGAGGGCGAGGACGAGAAGAGGTCCTCCGAGAACCTCACGGAGGAGAAAAGTTCCCTCATCGACCTCACAGAATCTGAGGTGCGACGATTGAAAAAAAAATATATATATATGTATAGATATTATCAACGAATCTTTTATCTCTGCTACATTATTTATTAATAGAACTAAACGTGTGCATGTGTTCTTTCTTATTTCTCCTCGTTTGATCGTTGTGTGCAATGTAACGCGTCTCTGGTTTGATCCACCCACTCGATCGTGACAGCTTAAGGACGTCGCCATTAAGTGCATGCGTGTGTTTGCAGGAAAAGGGCTCGCTTGCTGGTGGAAGTTACTCGACGACAGGCAAGACGTCAGCGAGATCTGATCTCAGCCCCGTCTTCGGTGAGTGTTAATTATTTCTTTACTTTTTTTTTTTTTAATATCGAGAATAGATCTATAAAACGACGATTTTGTTTCTCTTCGTTTATAATTTTGTCAAATTAATTTTGGAGTACGCGAAAAATTCTTTGATACAAAGAATCATATCAAAATTTAACGAACGAAATTCACGTCAAACGCAATTACTAGATTACAATATATATATATAATATTTTAAAATGAATTTCTTAACACATATAATACTCCGAAAATGACATAACTTAGAAACGTTATTTCACCAGAAAATGTAAATTGTCTTTAATCGTAATAATATATAGTTTTATCAATCCAATCAGCAAGCCTAATTCTCATAAAATCAAATATTATTTTTAATACGTTTTTCTAGTTGTGTCATTAATAACAACACAATAATTCTTCTATATTTTATTGAAGAAAAAATTATAATCACTGAAAAATTTATTGGATCTTCGAAAACTCGTTAAATGCAGAAAAAGAAATTCGAAATAGAGTAAAATCGATTGAGAAACGCGTCACGATCGAAAATCATCCAGCATTTATTCGTCCCGTCGGACGTTTATCGTGACCGTTCTCTCTGGCCTATGAAATCTGATAACGTGTTATGATATTTTATGCGTGTCGCGGGGGCAGGGCCTGATTCATATAAATTAACGTCATTGTAGGTGGTTATCTTACGATCTGGTAACGTAATCTACTCGTGGCGAATCGCTTTTATGTCCTAATGATAATTTAGACGCTTCTGGTCTGGCCGCCGCGATGGTTGAATCGTCGTGGAGCATTCGTGGCGCGTGTTACTCCCGCCGATGATTAACAATCTGGCCGTGGTGATCGGTGAACGAGATTATCGACCGAGACCACGTATTATCGTTTATTGCACCCGTTCACTAAAAACGAAAAGCCGCGCGCACGTTTCTGATTTCCGTTTGCCGCGCTCCCACCGGAAACACCGGTATCGGTTTATTTATTCGTTATTACGCGACGAATTTTTTAGTTTTAATAGAAATTATAAATTTCGACGAAATTTTTTTTAAAAATCCAGAAAATTTATCTGGAAAGAAATCTATAATTTAGAATTTATCAAAATATATGTATAGAATAAGTATAGAAATATGAAAATAGTGCAGAGTTTTTAATACTTTTCATTGGTTAAATTAGGAATCGAAGAAATTTTATTTGTATAATCGTTGTTTTGGTATTTTAAGTTGAAATTTATTTGTTATAAATGTAATTCTTTTACTTCAAAGTTATTTAATACTTATATTTATTTGTGAGTTTTTTTTTTATTAAATAACAAAGAAATTGATATAAATATTTTCTCATTTAGAAAGACGTAATTATATTAATCCTTCCGAAAGTATCGCAAATTTTATCTCATTACAATGAAATATTTTTTAATTCCACAGTTTTAAAAAAAAAATTTCATTAATATTAAAGTATAAATATTAAAGTTCAAGTTCAAAATTTTAGCTGAAATGATGTCAGGTTATTTAATGTATAAAATGTTATACAATGAATCATCTTTTTTTCGTTCTAAAAAAATGTTAACACTATTAATATGTGCATTGAATTTAAATCCCAAATAAAAATTATAATATTTGAGAAAACTTACTATCCTGTTTGAAAAAGTAGTACACTTAACTTCGCTTATTGAAAGATGACGAAGAAAATTTTGGAGAATCGCGTCAATGGGGAATGCACGTGCATCGAAACACGCGATTCCATTCACAATTCAGTTTCTCAAGTTTCGTTCCCCTGTCGACATATTCTCATCCTCGATTACTATCGCCTTTTCATTCATAGTTTTTCACGAGAAAGAGAGAGAGAGAGAAAGAGAGCCTCGGCAACCTATACATATATGTACATCGTACCTCGTGAATTATCGAAACGTGGGTTTTGTGCAATAGCGTTTCGGTTTTTTCGTCGAATGTCGATCGTTCCGAGAAAAAGTAGCTCGGGCCCCGTGGTTGCTGTTTTTACAGAGACATACGGTACCGTTTTCTTTCCGCCGCTTCCAAGTAAGGCGACGTTCGGGTTCACGGAAACGGCAATAAACACGGTGCTCTCGCCTCGTATCGCTCGCCGAAAATTTCGAAGCCGTTTATCGACGTTTAAGAAACACAACGCCCTCTTTTGTTTCCCCTCCTCTTTTAAAACGTCCGCAGTGGGCCTCCAAACTTTGTCGTCATCATTCCGAACTTTTTGTTTTAACGTTTCACTCGTCGAGAAATAATCATTGAAACTCTCCGTGATTTACTTATAACGTAACTAAGCTTGATTTCGATTCTCGGTTGAAATTGGCAATAAGAAAAGTTAATCCTGTAATTTTAAAATTTTATACTCGCACCACTGCGTTTAATTTAAGTAAAAGAAAGATAGTGTTATTTTAGAATCCACGATGAAAATAGGAAGTTTAGGTGCTTAAATTGAGCGAAGTGAAACTTGAAATACGGGTTTACAATAAAACTATCAGGCTCTGATGTACGTTATAATTACATCGCGAGTATTAAATGAAATTTTTTGTATTAAAAAAATGGGGTTTATTTTTTAATTAATCCCATAATACATTCAAATTTTGTATAAATGAATAAATATCCACACACCAATTCTAACTATATGATATACGTAAAATGTACATAACGCGTATAACATAGAAAAAGACGCAAACTATTAGAATTATAATATCACGCTCGTTAAAGAATGAAACGAAAATTCGATTTTACCATAATAATCCAATTATTACGATTATACAAATATACCCGGTTTATCGTTACAACGGAATAAAATAAACTCAAATAAACAAAATAATTCCAAAAATTCCTTGTTTTAACAGATTGAACGCAATATCGAAAACATTTTCTTAAAAACATTCAGGATTTAAATTCATTTTTATCTCCAGAATCTTATTACTTCTCTCCTCTACTATTCTACATTCATACTTTCACGTTCCTTTTTATTCCCTGATGTACATATATATATATTCTTTTCCCTTCCCGTGGCACGCTTTGTTGTTCATATTTCACGCTACATCACACGGTGCAGCAAAGAGTAATCGCAAGAACCGAAAGTAATCGGCAGGCGAACGAGGGGGGGAGGGAAGAGGAGGAGGAGAAGGAGGAGGAGGAAGGAAGGAGAGGGGAGGGGGATGAGGGCTGGAGGGTGAACGAAATCGAATTGGCGTTGGTTAAAAGCGAAAAGGGTTTTCGGCGAGAAACCGCGGGCAAAGTTAATCCCAATTTGCCGGGGGAAATTGACCGAAGTTTACGGAACGCTATTATTCTCGCGACAGGTTTGAAACAAATTGTAACTCGTTAGCGCAACGGGTATATACAATGAAACGCTGCGATGTCTCTCTCACTCTCTCTTACTCCCTTTTCCTCTTTACCGATTCACTCGTCCCTACTTGGCCGGACTTTGTCACTGACAAATCGATGTCGTGTGACACCGTACGAGCTGTCACCGTGTTGCCAAAACACTTTAAACGAGTTACGCCTGCGATTCCAACGGCCAACTTACCTGACATTTCCATGCTAGACATGGTGCTCGTGATCAAAGGATTATAGAAGAAGTGTTGCTTTCAATCTTTTCGAATTCTTCTTCTTCTTCTTCTTTTTCTTCTGCTCCTCCTCCCGATCTCTCTCTCTCGTTTTCTCTTTCTTTCTTTCGTTCTCTGTTTCTTTTTCTTTTTCGAAAGAAGTTGTGTTTCTTCGTGAATCGGAGGAAAAATATATCTATTTTATCAGTCGTGGCATCATAAACGTCTGTTTCAAATTATTATTAAAAGTGGTCGTATGCGTTGACGGCAATTTATTTATTTGCTAACTGCCTTTGAAGTATTTAACTTTTGCAGGTCATTAATTATCTCGCAGATAACTTTGGAGTGATATAAATACGTTGGTCTCTTAATTATATTAATTAATTTAACCGTAATTCTCGAGTTAAATTAACGTGAAAATGTTGCAAGTATATACAGAAATTATATTTTTCACGTTTAAATATTATATATATATATTATTATAGGTATTAAAAATAAGAAAATTTGTAGCAGTTACGTATAAAATTAATATCGAGACTATTATATTTTATTACAAAATATAAACTTGTCATAATAAACATTTTATTTCCTTTATTAAAATATATTCGATTGCAACCATAATTGTTTTTCTCTCGTACAAATATTTTGTTACCAACACCTCCGTATCATCCTATCTTTTTTCATTTATATTCGAATACAAAAATATAAAATAAAACAAATATGAATTATGCGTGCATGGAACGATATTACATTCAATTTCTTCTCATTCTAAATAAGTTAAATCACTTAGGGGCAAATTAAATTTTAAATCGGGTAGAAATGATTAGAAAAAAAAAAAAAAATTGGTTCTCATTTCTTCAAAGTTTGCCTAAGCGATTGCCCAACCGTTTCCAAGATAATCTTGACACGATAACGGATAATCGAGCGAGAGTGCGATTATATTGATCCAAGGTTTATCGATGGTCAGTTGTCACTTTAAGACGAGTTATCGCGCAGATCTTGGGTAATCGTTTGTTTGTTACGCGCCAGGCCGGGATGCACTTGCACAGGTAGATAATTTATTGTGGCCGCGTTTAACCAGGTTCGATGTATCGATACAACGATGCATCGATAGTTTTCATGAAAATTATTCGCTGTCAAATATTGCCTTCTGCAGGAGTGTTGCCTCCTCCTCTGCTGTACGTATAATAATATTTTAATCGCGGGTTGATTTACACGCTGCGGTTCCCCTGCCAAGTAATAAAGTCTAATTACTTGGAACGTTGGTATAAATCGTTGCAATAAAAGCACGATCCAATTTATTGCTCGATGAAATACTCTATACATCAAACGTTAACCAAATATGTCCTTCCGAATGTTGTAAACGAATTTCACACTGTTTCTTCCTTAAACGGAATGGATTCATCGTCATCGCTTTCGTTCTTTGGATGAAGTTTGACGAGCTAGAGAATTA